TTTAAAGGTGGTTGATTGGATTATGTGGATTAGAGGGAAGAGAAGCTGAACAAAGTTTTAATCAGGTTTCAATTTAACTTAATTACCAACTCTTACTCTTGATTAAATACATATTTATTATATAATCAGTCTGTACTAGATATTAAGAACTGCCCCTGAACTTGAAAGAATTTAAGATTCATCTGTCACACTCCTTTGCCTCTGCTTTAAATATTGAAGACCCTCAGGCTTTAGCTTAAGGCTCTTTTCTGCATGTAACTTGAGTGATTTTATCCAACTCTTACGAATTCAACCACCACTTACAGGGTGATGACTCCTAAATTCACTTGTCTCCAATCCAGATTGTTCAGCTGTGACCCTGGGACCATATATGCAATGACCTGCTGGGGAATTCCATGGTGTGACTCACAGGTGCTTCCTACTCAACATGGCCAAACCAAAATGTATCCGTTTCTTTTTCTCCTCTCATTGTTCCTAGTTCAGTGACTGGTGCCACTGTTCAAGTAATAAATGTAAGAACAAGAACAGCAATAATCACTGAAGTAGTAATAGTAGCAGCTAACATTAAATGAGCACTTCTTTTGTTCTGAGCATTTTTGCACATTATTGCATTTTACCCTCATAATAATACTGTTGTGAAATAATAGAAAAAATATATTTGTCTCTGTCCCCTCTTCCTGACACAGAGCTAAAATCCTTGTGACTTCCTAAATGATGAGAACACTATGAGTATTTTATGTTCTAATGAGGTGACTCTGAGTGGATCCCTGGTTGGCGGCTGGTTATCAGAAATATCTACCATGATAAGGAGCTTGGAATTTTCAGCCCCATCCCTATCCCTCAGAGAAGGGAGAGGGATTGAAAATAGAATTAATATTCGATCATGTGTATGTGGAGAAGCCTCCATAAAATCTCAGTAGTATGGAATTTGGAGAGCACCCAGGTTGGTGAACACATTAGTAACTTAAATACTACTCAGGTCCAGACAGCTCCACTGGTGAATTCTACCAAAGTTTAAACAAGAATTAGCTTCAACTCCTTAAACTCTTCCTAACAATAGAAGAGAAGGGAATACTCCACAACTCGTTATATGAGGTCAGTATTACCCTGATACCAAAGTCAGATAAATACATTGCAAGAAAAGAAAACTGCAGAGCCGCATCCCATATGACTATAGATGTCAAAATCCTCAGCAAAATACTAACTGAATCTAACAGAATAGAAACAGGATTACACACCAAAACCAAGTTGGGATTTAAGCCAACAATATAAAATTGATTCAAACTCTGAAAATCAATCAGTGTAATACATCATATTGATAGAATAAAGGACAAAAGCCACACTATAATGTCAATAGACACAGAAAAAAAGCACTTGACAAAATCCAACCTTTTCATGATTAAAAACACTCAACAAGCAAGGAATAGATGGGAACTTCCTCAACCTAGCAAAGGGCATCTATAAAGAGCCCATATCATTCCTAATGGTGAAAGACTGAAAGCTTTCCCTATATGATGAAACTAAACAAGTATGTCCGACATCAACACTTGTATTCAAGATTTTAGTCAGGCAAGAAAGAGAAATAAAAAGCATCCATCTTGGGATGGAAGAAGTAAAACTGTTTCTATTCACAGATGACATGATCTTATATAGGAAATCATAAAAATCCATTAAAAACTATTAGAATTAATAAATGAATACAGGAAGGTTGCAGGATGCAAGATCAATACATAAAATTTATCATGTTTCTACAGATTTGTAGTGAACAATTCAAAAATAAAATTAAAAAAAAGTGTCACTTAGCATCAAAAAATACTTGGGAATAAATTTCACAAAGAAGTGCAAGCTTGTAGATGCAAAACTACAAGACATTAGTTAAGAAATTAAAGATTTAAATAAATGGAAAACATCCCATATTCATTGTTAGAACATTTAATTTTGTTAAAATAACAACAGTCTCCAGGTTGATCTACAACTGGATTTTCGGTAGAAATTGACATGTTGATCCCAAAATTAAAATGAAAACACAAATGATCCCAAATAGCCAAAACACCTTGAAAAGGAATAAAGAATAGAGAAAAGAAGAATAAAGTTACAAGACTCACATTTTCTCTATTTCAAAACTTACTGCAAAACTACAATAATCAAGACAAGGTTTAACTGGTTAAGGATAGATATATAAATCAGTGGTATAGAATTGGTACCAAGAAATAAACTCTTATGTTAATGGTCAATTGATTCTTGACAAGGGTGCCATGATACTGTGATTTATACTAAGAAATATATATTTGGTCTTCACCCCTGTTCCTGACATAGAGTATCTAAAATCCTTGTAATTTCCTAAGAGATAAGAGAGATGAAAGTGTCTTTTGGTATCCTTAACAAGCTCCTTTCAGCCCTGAATTAATGAGGTGACCTTTAGAAAGCCTCTAAGGCTATGAGCTGGTTGCTATAGTAATGAACCCTATAATTATAAGGTTGGGATATTCAGTTCCTCCTATATCTTCTGACAGGGGAGAGAGGATGGAGATAGACTTGACCACTAACAGGCAATGATCTTATCAATTATGCCTATTAAAGCATGAAGGATGCCAAGGCTGTGCTGCACCCCAAACTCCACTGGGACAGAAGTTCCTGTGCTCTGGACCCTTCAGAACCCTGGCCTGTGTATCTCTTCACATGGCAGTTCATTCATATCTTTTAGTATCTTCTGTAATAAACTGGTAATCTAATAAGTAAACTGGTTTCCTGACTTCTGTGAGCTGCTCTAGCAAATTAATCTAACCCAAGGAGGGGGTCTTGGAAACTTCCGATCTATAGCTAGTGGGTCAGAAGCACCAATAACAACCTAAACTTGTGATTGGCCTCCAGAGTGGTATGTGTGTGTGTGTGTGTGTGTGTGTGTGCCAGTCTTGTGGGTGGGAACTCTTAACCTGTGTGATCTGATGTTAACTTCAGGTAGGTAGTATCAGAATGCAATTAAATTATAGGACACGCAGCTGGTGTCACAGAATTATTTGATGTGAGGAAAAAAACCCACTATCCAGTCATCAAAGTTTTCATTATGAGTAGTGCTGTGAGTAGAGAGAAAGAGATACACAGGAGAGTTTTTCCTCTTTACAGGTGCTAAGACAACTGAATGGGGGTAAGAATTATCTCTTCAACAGATGGCACTGGGACAACTGGTTATTTATATGCAAACAGATGAAACTAGGTCCTTATATCATACCATACATAAATATTAACTCAAATGATCATAGATGTAAATAAAACTAAAGCTCTTAAGAGAAAACACAAGATTAAATCTCAGAGATCATGGGTTAGTCAATGGTTTTTAGATATGACACCAAAAGCATAAGTGATAAATGATTGAAAAGCTGGACTTCATCAAAACTGAAAAATTTTTGCTGCAAATAATATCATCAAGAAGGTTAAAAACAGCTCATAGTGTGGGAGAAAATACTTGCAAACCATATATCTGATAAAGTGCTTGAATCTAGAATACATTAGTAGCTCTTATAACTCAATAATAAAAAGACAAATAACTAAATTAAAAATAAACAAAGGACTTAGACAATGTTCCAAAAAAGATACACACATGGCTAACAAGCACATCTGAAACTAATGATATAGTAACTATATATTAACTAATGGAATTTAAATAAAATAAGTTAATAAAAGAGAAAAAAAGATGCTAAACATCATTACTTATTAGGGAAATGGAAATTAAAGTCACAGGGAGGTAATACTTCACACCCACTGGGATGACTATCATCAAAATGACAGATAATGACAACTGTTGTGCAGGATGTGGAGAAATTAGGACCCTCATTCATTACTGGTGGTAATGTAAAATGGTTTGGAAAACACTACAGCAGCTCATCAAATTGTTAAACAGAGTTGTCCTATGACTTAACAATTGCACTCTTAGGTGTATATATAAGTGAAATGAAAATATATGCCAACACAAAACTTGTTCAAGAATGTTCACAGTGGCATTAGCAACAGCCAAAAAATGGAAAATATTTTATATGTCCAACAACTGATGAATGGATAAACATGTGGTGTATCCATGCAATGGAATATTGTTTGACAGTAAAAAGGAATGAAGGTCTGATGCATGCCACAATGTGGATGAACCTTAAAAACATTATGCTAAGTGAAAGAAGCTAGTCATAGAAAACCACATATTATATGTTTCCATTTATATGAAAAGCCAGAATAGACAATTCTATAGAGATAGAAAGTAGATTAGTTGCCTTCGGCTGAAGGGAGTGGGGGTGGAATGGGTTGGGGAGAAATGGACTGGTAATAGGTATGGGGTTTCTTTTTAGTGTGATGAAAATGTTCTAAAATTTGACAGTGGTAATTGTTGTTCAACTCTGTGAATGTTATAAAAAACACTTGTATACTTTTAAATAGGTGAATTTTTATCATATATTAAGTACATCTCAGTAAAGATGTTAAAAGTAAAGAATAAGCTAGTTCCTGGCATATGGTAAACATTTAATAATGTAAACTATGAAAACTATGAAATTAAAAAAATGTGTCAAGCATAATTCTTTGAACAGTTCCCCTCTTCCCTACAGTGGTGAAGTAGAGGTTTGTGTCAGAAATGACTGACAGCCTGAGAATATGGGGAAAAGGTGGTGGCAATGACAGAAGACTTCTGGCAAGAAAGCAAATTTAGAGATGGGGGAGGAATAAGGAATCTTTTTGGGGGAATGTTGGATGTTCAAGTTGATCCATCTACTGAAGATTGATATGAAAGACAAGGATTTTATCCTCATAACAGGAAAATTTTGGTTAAGCAAATATAAGATCTTGCTGCAGTGACAATCACCTTAGAGTTTCCCTTCCTAATGAGTTTGGGGGTTGGTGAGCCGATTAATATATTAAAGCATCATATATAGTGAAGGGGTAGATTGGATAGTAATGTTTAAGTAATTTTTAAAAAGTTTTTAAAAAGTAACGTGGTTATTTAAAATGGTTTCTTATAGGTGTCTTCAGAAAACATATCCTTCACAACTCCCATCCCTTGGTGTCATTCTCATATTCATGAATGAAGCTCTGTCCATTATACAATGGGCCGTCACTAGTGTCATCAACCGCACCCCCCTCATTTGTTAAAGGAGATCATCTTGGTGGATGATTTTAGCTCAAATGGTGAGCAACTTGATCAAAGAATAATAGTTTATTGACTGCTGAGCTGGAAAAGAGTTTTATCTTAGAGTTTAGGACACTTTAGTTTCCTCATATAGTGAAGAGAAAGGGATCATTTATTGAGGTCGTATGTGCTGGACACATTAATCTTCACAAAGTCAAGGCAGAGGATCATCACCTTGATTACATAGATGGGGAAGCTAGGACACAGAGAGATCACATAATGTGCCCAAATTGCAGAGTGAGTTAATGGTGGAGCTGACTCAAGTCCAGGACTGAGTGACTCCGAAGCCTTTCTATGTACCATGATGGAGACCTGAGGGAGTAAACTGGGGTCCAAAATTAGACCTCAGATACCAAGAAGGGATTTAGAACTGTTCCCTATGAGGAAAAGCAATCTTTCTGTGTAATTAAACCCAGAGAAAATGGAGCTTTGGATGCTGAGACTCTTCCCAGTGGCAATGTTTCTTGCTCATAGCATGCCCCCTCCCCATCCCTATCTAGTTCACCCAGCGGGGACATGAAGAATTGGGAGATAGTGGGCAAAACATGAATGTTGGTAATAATAACTATCTCATAAACTGCAAGGAGAGTTACATGAGATAATCGTGGCAGCTAACATTGTTCCAAGCACCTTATGTATGTTAACTATTTTAATCATTACAATAACCTATGAGGAGGAACCACTGTTTTGGCCATTTTACAGATGCAAAAACCTAAGGCATAGTCTGGTTGAGGAATTTGCTAAATATTGCAATGCTGGTAAGTGACAAAATTGAGATTTGCAGAGTCCAGAGCCCTATCTCTAGCCACTATGTTCACTGATATAATACGTAGGTGATGAACAGTATTTAGCACATAGTAACCTCTCAGCCAGTGTTAGCTCTTAGTTTTTTAAATTTTGAAGAACTAGAACAAAGTCACAGATTTGCGGTAGCAATAAGGAAGAAATTTCTGAGAGTAAGGACTATGGAGTGGCTGCTCATGGGAGGCAGAATTTGTTCCTTCTCTGGGGGATCTTTAAGTACGAGACAGGTACTTATTGCAGATTCAAATTAGGGGCATATATATATATATATATATATATATATATATATATATATATAGTCAAATTAGGGGCAGTTTGACCTAAGAGGAAGAGGCAAATGACCTCTAAACTTTCCTTTTTGGATTTCCAGACACTAAAAATACTCCTTTTCATGTTTTAAATACCTTCCTTTCTTGTCATTTCAATATAAATGCACAAAAAAATAAGAAGGTACAGTTCTTAAGCAGAATTCCATTGAAAACCAAAGAAAAGAAAATGGCTGACTTCATTCCTTTCTGTGCAGGCACACCTAGTTTTTGAGTAGGAAATAAGAACTTGATTAGAAAGACCTCTGTCCTCAACATCTGGACACACCCTGGCTCCACTCCCTGTCTCTGTGAGATGATCTGAGGCAAGCCGTCTCACCTGTCTGAGACTCAACTTTTTCATGGGGCAAATGTAAGGACTGAGCTGGGGGACCCCTGAAGATATTATTTCCTGTGGGAAAAAAAAATCAATGGCTCTTTAATTCCACATTCCATGAAGAGTAGATAAGAATTAATTCAAGATTTCTACCTATGGAACAATGAAATCAAAAGATACAAGATTACAAATGTAGGTAGACACATAAAGAGAAGTCAAGCAAAACTCTGGATCGTTCCAAACTATTCCCTTATCATATAATACATCTCTCTCACTTTGGTCAGGAACCCATTATGCTTTTCATAGAGATAATGTGTGAATTGGCAAAGAAGAGGGGACTGTTAGTCCTTCTTTGACTGGTATCCCTGGGACAGGGATTAATTTCTCTCTCCTTAACCATAAAATATCAACTAGATTGGTCCTACACTGAACAGAACTTAAAAATCTGTTTTGTGTTAAATTGAGGAAAATAAATGGAAGTCTACCACATATGCCACAAGAGAAACTTACTATTCATTTGACTTCGTGGGGCAAGTAATTCAACTACTCCATGTCTCCACTTCCTCACCTGTAATACGGGGGAAATAATAGTGTTTACCTGATAGGACAATTTTGAAGATTAAATAAGACATGTGAAGTCCTCAACACAGGACTTGCTCGCAATAAATGTTAACTAGTGTTATTACTCCTTGTTTACCTCAGTATCATTTATAGTACTGTTGAAATGCCATAACTTGATTATGTCCCTGTCCTTTTCCCCCTAGATATGAAGCTTCATTTGTATCAGGTCAAATGTTTCAAGTGTCAACAGAGCTAATCCAACTATTTCAGAAATTGTATTAATATATGTGGGATTCTACATATTCGCTCCAATTTTAGGCAAATTTTATAACTAACAACTATTTATTTTGTACCAAAAAACAAGCACTATGCAAGGAAGATTTCAAGAAGTTCCCATATTAATTTATGAGGCAAGACATACCTATGGAAAGATATTTCAATATATGAAGAATGGTGTGTCAAATTGAGTGAGCTGTTAGTGAATGCAAGAAAGCCTGGAGAAATGGCTGGGATGAACTAAAGAGGCTTCCTGGAGGAGGAGGACTTGGATTGGGACTCGAAAATTTGGTAGGATTTAGAAAAGCAAAGAAAACAATGGAAGACTGGGTGTGTGTATGTGGGTGTCGGGGATAGAGAGTGATGAAAAGAATGATATGAGCAAATCTGCAGAAGCCAGAAGCACCCTGAGCTGAGCATCCTGGAATAAAGAGTTTGGGGGCAAAGAGGACCAGTGGGAGAGCAAGGCTGAGAAGGAGGCCTAAGTTTACTTTAGAAGATCCATTGAAGGGTCTTTAATTCTTGTGCTGGACTGTAGGCATTATTTCTGAGAGGATGACTCAGAATCTACAACTTATAAAATTTTGGAATTGGAAGGATCTTGGCATATTATTCAGCCTTTCTTTCTAAGTTGAGGAAACAGAGATCCCCAAATGGGAAGTGACACAGAAATAGATAGTGAGGGAGGTTGAATTACACACTAGATATCTGGGGTCTATGGGAAACTCTTTTTTCTCTTTTTTCCTTTTTTCTTTTTTTCCCACCATTTTGGTTCACACAGTTTATTTAAGAACTCATACAGAATACTCAAGATAAATGATTTTTAATCCTCATCTTTAATTCTCTTCTTTATCCTGGTTAATCTGGAAGTAATGTAATTCCTAATTATGCTGTTAACAACTATGTACAACCAACCACACAGAATATTCTTCATATTTCTTGGTGAGATTTTTCTAATGCCTTTTAGAAAAAGGTACCTCAGAAGTTATGGTAATCCTGCTCTTGCTCCTTTCAATGATTATAACACCTCTACCAGGATTCCCAGGTTTTCCATTCACTTTGATTTTTTCTTGAAGAAATTGCTAAAAAAATAGGCAGAATCCATGATTCTTCTACAAGGTGGGTGCCATCAAGGGTGAAATTCAGAACCTGCTCCCTCCCCTCACTTTGCCACAAGCCTTTTCAGGGGCACCATGGTGGCAGAAGAAGAAAAAAACATGGCAACTCCTTCTGATTGCTTCCTGAAAGTAGTGACTGGGTAAGTGTAGGGACTTTCCAGCTTGGTTTCTCACAGTTGGAGCAAAAGCCTTCAGATCCACTGGCTCTCTTTAAAACCTTCAGTTACTGAGTCAGTCTTCCTGGAGTGCACCTGGGAAAGTCCTAATATAGGGCAAATTTTTGTGCCACAGTCATGTAGGTATTGCTTCCAGATCTTGGTCATTCCAGCACTCACAAATCTACTCTTCTTCTGAGAGAGGAACCAGCAAGAATTTCATCTCTGGGCCCTGGGAAGAGAGGGATAGAGAGAGATCATGATAAATCCAACCAAGTACACACATAGTTCTTGAGGCAGCATTGCATGGTGGTTAGACACAACATGGGCTCACATCCAGGGTATGCCACTTATTGGATGTGTAACTTGGAGAAGTTTCTTAATCTCTCTGTGTCTCAGGGTTTTTTTTTGTCTGTAAAGTGAGGATACTGAAATACCTACCTTATAGGATAATTTGAAATTTAAATAAATTAATGTTATCAATGGAAAACTCAGTCACTTGGTTAGATATTTTAAACACTGCTTAGTGATTTGCATGCAAGTTTTTCTCATACATATGAGGAAGTCAACTGGTAGGCTGAGTCAAAGAACAAATTTATAGACAGCCTTTATAAAAGACAGGGGAAAGAGGGAAGAAAAAAAATGGAAACAATCTGGGAATAGTGAATCCTGTTTGCATAATTTAGGGGACAAATTCATTAGCTAGAAGCTGGAAAAGTGATTAGCCTGGGCATTCTGTCCAAAACTGGTCCTTGAGTAGGCCAAGTAGAAATATGTAAAATAAGACAAAACAGTTTCAGTTGTTTATGGATTCTCCAGAAAATCTTGAGAGTTTAGCCATGGGGAAGACATTCCAGGCTGTCTCCACAATGTCTGTTCATCAGCATCTCTACCTTAGCTAGGTCAGGTCTATCTACTCATTCTTGTGAGAATTCTCAATACACATAAAGCTTATATAACAATCCTTGTTACATGGTAAGCGGTATGATTATTCTAAGGTAGTTAAACTTCAAGGGAAATGAGATTAGGAATGAGCATTAAGCCTGAGGATAGAATGGAGAGAAGTAGGTGCAGGGGAAACACTACTTATTTCTCAGTCAAGATGGTAGAATTGCTCAATCTAAACTGGAAGTAGTCCAACCACTACTATATAATAGTATGAAATTTCTACACCACATTGATTATTGCACTCAGAATTTCTATAGGTGTGCATTTGGTTGGCAGGAGAACTAAACGCATACTTGGATGAGAAGATTAAACTTTACAACCAGAAGTATCCAGGACTACTAAAAATAATACGGCGTACAAAGAGAAAAGGTCTTGCTCAAGCACGCAACACTGGCAGGAAAGTGGCCACAGCTGATGTGATTGCCATCTTGGATGCTCATGTTGAAGTGAACGTTGGGTGGTAAGGCTCCAGGAAGTTTCTTCTAAGAAAGGGGAAAAAGGAGATACTGAAAATGTACTACATACAAGACAGGATATTATGGAAATAGGGAAAGATAGCACCAGATCTCGAACAAAGAAAAGATCCAAAGACAGGGTGTTTTACTCAGGGATTCGTAACACTAAACTACTAAAGAAGTAATAGTTTAGTGTTAGGAAAAAACAACAACCAGAACAAAAACAAAAAACAATGGGCTTGGAGTGTTGACAACTGGATTCTGACCCTGACTTTGCCAAACAACTTTGTGACTTTTAATAAGTCACATTTAACTAGACATTTATGTCCTTAACTATAAAATGAGGAAATTATCTTTTGATGATTCCTAAGGTTTTTCTCAAATAGTAAAGAGACATCATTTTGGAAACAGGGAGACTCAAAGAGTTAATGTAAATTTAGGCAGAATACAAATAGTCCTGTTCATAATGACTTGAGAGTGGTATTTGGGTACTAATTCCAAATCTGTTCTTGACATATCTGTTCTTTTCATATCCTGAAAACTGCGAGTCTTTGCATTCTGGAGTATCCTACTCAGAGCTCAGCACAGCATAAATGAAAAAGGTGCTCAATGTCAGGGCAAAGTGCTTGAGGAGGTTTTGTTTGCTTGCTTCTTCTTACTTTCGTATCCAACCTGGATTTGTTACACACTCTTCTTCTAGGGCAGAGCCCATTCTGTCTCGGATTCAGGAAGACCCCACTGTAATTGTGTCTCCTGTGTTTGACAATATTCATTTTGACACCTTTGAACTGGAAAAGTATGCATTGGCAGTTGATGGCTTTAACTGGGAACTATGATGCCACTATGATCCACTGCCAAAGGCCTGGTTTGATCTTCATGATGCCACCGCTCCAGTGAAGTAAGTCTGAGATTTAGGGAATTTGATTAGAACATGGGAAATCAGGAATGGATGGTGTGGGTTTTGTTTATCTTTTATGGTACTGATGGGAGTGGGTGGGAGAAATGGAGGAGATGGGGTGAAGGACAGAGGATAGAGAAAAAATTATAGGCACTTTAGGCTATCTAAGGACTTTCAAACAAAAACCAAAGTATATAATGTTTTAAAAAAATATTTGAGACATTTTAAGAATTTTCAGGCTATGAAATAGGGATATGAAGATGAAAAAGGTATAATTTCATTATAATATGAGAAGGACTATGGCAGGATGAAGGTGAAGGAAGGCTACATGTACTTAGTTCAGCCTGAGGGTTTAGAGAAAACCTTCAGGATAAGAAGAGACTTGAGTAGACCTTTGAAAGCCAAATCATCATTGGCTTTCTACCCCTCACCACCATCCTGACCCATTTCTCTCATCAAGAGGTTAGTAACTCTCTTACTATGTGTTCTATAGGAATCCTTCCATCATGGGCATCCTGGCTGCCAACAGGATCTTTTTGGAAGAGATCGGATCTCTGGATGGTGGGATGCTGGTCTGTGGAGGAGAGAACGTGGAGCTTAGCTTGAGGGTGGGTACATTTTCTTCTCATTATGAGAAAAAGCAGAGGGGGAAATAATTGGAGAGTAGTATGGTCTTTGGAATTCTGGAACAAGGCTGAATGTCATTGGCTCAAGAGATGGACAAATTATCATGTTTCCAAGTCACTAGGAAAGGCAGTAAAACTTCTGGAGTGGAACTTTCTAGTATAGGTTTGTATAATCTGGGAGATATGGATGGAAAGAGGTATAATTGAGGCTTGGCAGATGGTATTCTTATTTACCTTAAGGGAAATAAGCATTCCAAGCATTTTTCCAAGCATTTCCTAGATCTCATGCATAAAATATCCCTCCTATAGTATTCCTTTTGCAGCTTCTGTATAATCCAGAATCCTTTGTTAAAAGGCCTTGCCCCTTGGGTTTGTGGTTTTTCTTATTAATTTACCTTTCTTTCATCTTCCAGCCTAAGACTGAACTTTAAAAAAGGCACTAACTTATGTTAGTGAGAATTACATGAGTATTGGAAACAGACAGACTTAAGTCCAGATCCTACTCTACCACTTGAAAGTTTGTGTTATCTTGGGCAGATAGAAGCTCTCTAAGCCATACCTACTACATTGAGCACCTAGCATGCTGAGTGACATGTGACTTATGCTCATAAATGGTTAAAGATAAAAATAATAATGATAAGGATGTCAGGATGGCATTGTAAAAAAATGCTGAACTTGGCTTCTAATCCTGACTCTGCTAACTCACTGTGGACTGAGGTTCTATAAAATGGCTTTTTTTTCCCCCCAAGCCCTGAAATTCTGTGCCTGAGACCAGGTGATCTCTAGTCCATAACAGTGTCTGGAAGCATACGATATTTTCTAAAGCTTATTTAGATCTACAACTTTCAATTTTTTACTTGGAACTGATGACCCTAGAACTATATATTATACCCAATGAAGACCTAACCAGGACCTCACATTTATGTGTTAACAAATACAATTTGAGTCCCTATCTGGGTTATACCGTAAGCCACAGTAATTGTTGGGCAGAGAAAACTACTGCTTTGCATGTTTGTCTTGACCAGTTTTCCCTTTTATGAAATGAAGAGAAACATCCTTGTTTCATCTACCTCATAAGGATAATGGCACTGTTAAAATGTAATAAATATTTTTAAATGATTTATAAAGATATTAATTGAATCCTTGTTTGACTACTGTGAGAGAGGCTAAAATAACAGGTTTAAACAAGATAGAGATTGATTTCTTTTTCCCAGAACAGTTTGAACATAAGCAGTTCAGGATTAAGATGGCAGCTTCAGGGTGATGGGAACAAAAACCCATCTTGTGGTTCTGCTACACTCAACACCACACCTGTATTCTACTCAGTAGGAAGAGAAAGGGGGGGAAAGACAGAGCATGTTTTCTTTTTAAGGGCACTACCTGAAAGTTGTCTATGTTATTTCCCTCAAATCCCATTGGCCCCTGCTGGTCATATGGCCACTGGTGAGCGAAAAAGTCTGGGAAATGTAGATTTCAGCTAGTTGCTATGTGTGCAGTTATTCCTTCTACAACTATAGATGTAGAGGGAAATAGGTATTGAGTGTACAATTAGTCTCTAGCACAAAATAGAAATGTAGAAATAATTATTTTATGCATGGTACTTAGCAAAGTCCTAAGATGACCTTAGTTACATTAGGGCTGATGTTTTCCTATCTATCATAGCTTCCATGAATTTGGAACTCCAATTCTCCAACTTAGGACCCCAAGCCCTTCTTACCATTTCTGAGTTCCCCATGCTTTTCTCTGCTTTCTTCTTCTGCTGCTTCTTGTCTGTTTCCATTCCCCTCACCATCCCATATTGAACTCTGATATTTTAGTTTCCACAAGAAATTCTCTTTCTTTTAATATTTTGTGCTTTTTTGATAGATTTTGCTGGAAATGTAGGGAGTGTCAGGGAAAGGCCATTCTTTTCTTTTTCTTGGATAAAACAGTTCTACCCATATCTAGTTTCCTTAGTTTGTGTGTGTGACTATTTGCCTTTTAAAACCTTCCAGCACTTGTTAAGATCTGTCTTTCTCCAGTGACAGATCATGGGGAACATTAGAACTGCATGGAATGTTTTGTTCTGACATCTAGAGGCATGGTAGTGATAGTGCACATGGAAGTGTATAAATGGAGATGGACTGTTGGGGTTGATGCTCAAGAAAGGAAAACCAGCATTTATCAGGCACCTTGTGTATTCCTGACCCCTTGACAGAGCTTAATAGGCTCACTGCTCAGAATCCAATTCTGTCATTTACCTGCTGGTAAATGTGGGCAACTTACTTAAATGAGGATAATAATAATACCTACATGTTAAGGATTAAATTCATGAAAAACATTAGGGTAACATTTGCCACAGAGCAAGTCATTGTTACTATAAGCAGAAGCTTTACATCTCTCTCTGTGTGTTACACACACACACACACACACACACACACACACACCCCACACACAGAATGAGAATGGAGGAATGTTTGGCAAGTGGGAATAAACTGAAAGAGTAAAATTTGAAAACTGTTGGTCAAGGATAATAGTTAACATTACTTCATAAATGGCAATCATGACTTTTATCTTTTCACTTGAATTTAAGTTTTTTTTTGTGCCAAAATTTTTTTCTCCTCTGAATTCCTGTGGATTGGAAACTACCAGCAACTAAAAAAAATGAAATAAATTTGTATTTGAAATTTTAGATGTTTGGCTTCAGAAACTAAAATCTGAAAGCACATGAGTTTTAACCTCCACATGATTCTGGAAACTAATGAAGAGAAATTCAGGAAGATAATGGAAGAAAAGATCTGTTTCAAGTTAAAAATCATAGACATTTATGGATACTTGTTATGCCATTTATTCCTCCTGACAGCTTTATGCCCTTTGTGGATGAGCCACCTGAGACTCAGAAGGGGAGTGTTTTGCTTCTAGTTGCCAGGTATGCAGTGATAGAATCAGGGTTTGAACACAGGTCAGTCTGACTTCAAAGCATGGCTTTTTGTCATTGTGCTAGTCTGGGTTTTGGGGGATGAGGGAGAAGAATCTGTGGATTCAGAAGTAGAAGAAGGGATAAAAAAATTTTGAAAGTCAGATAAGGGGACTGACCCTTCAGGTGGTTAACTGAACCAGCAGGACCTAAGTTCCTCACTCTTATCTCAGAGGCTCCCTTGGGCATGAAGGTAGTAGGTTTTTAACCACTGCTAGATAGGCCAATTAACTCCCAGAAACTGCACTTTTCTTGGGAAACCATGAGGAGAAGACACTGGAGCCATTATATCAATCTAATATCATTAGATAATTCTATCATCTATCTGGATGAAGATCATATTTTTAAGCCAAATATTAGAGTATGTGGCCTGAAAAGTAAGTTTGTACCCATCAGGATGGCAAAGAAGAGTATTTATAATTATATCATTATATCATAAGTCATGATATCTCTTAGTCAAGAATTACTTGTATTAGTTATCTATTGCTGTGTAGCAGGATTATCACAAAGTTGGTGATTCAAAGCAAAGTGCATTTACCATCTCACCGTTTCTGTGGATTAAGAGTCCATGCATGGCTTAGCAGGGTCATCTGCAAAGCTGCAGTCAAAGTGTTGGCCAGGGCAGTCAAAGCGTTGGCCATTGAGGATTGACTAGGGAAAGATCTGCTTCCAAGCTCATGGGATTGTTGGCAGCACTCAGTTGCTTGAAGCCCTCTAGACTGAGAGAGCATTCAGTTTTTTGCTGGCTATCAGTTGGAAGCCACCCTTAGTTTCTTGCCCTGTGGCCTCTTTATCATGGTGGCTCACAACATGGTGGCTTGCTACTTCAAAGCCAACATGACAGCACGTCTTCTAACCAGATGGACACTGCAATCTTATATAGTGTAATCACATACATGCAATCATGTACATCCTATCACCTTTGCCATATTTTATTGGCTAGAAGGAGATCACAAGCCCACACTCAAAGGGAAGGGATTAGAGAAGGGTATGAACACTAGGAGGCAGGGATCATGGGAGCCCCTGAGAGTCTGTCCACCACATTGCTTTATATCTAGTATGCAGGACAGAGTGGGTCTTGGGAAGTGAAGTCCAGTGAGATTGGCTCAGAGTGTGGTACCTCTTAGGACTCTGGCACTTTCTTGGGGATAATAGAGCCAAAGGCAGCCATTCCTTTGGTCTGTTCAGGAAGATTTCCTGAAGGATGTAGGATTTTTGGAGCTGTCTGAACAATGGGAGAGAAGAATTTTGGTAGATTTCTAATGAAGGTTGTTTTAGGTAGGTAGGTTGAGAGGCCACATTGAGATGGGAGTGAGAGAACTAAATTTACATTCTTTAAAAATGATTCCAAAATGTGTTCTCTGTGAGTCTACAAGCTATGCTGCTTCTTGGTCATGGGCCTAGCCTGCCCAGGTGACTTTCTTTTCTTCTTTTACAGGTGTGGCAATGTGGAGGGAGAATCGAGATCTTACCCTGCTCCCGGATTGCTCACCTAGAGAGACACCACAAGCCCTATGCCTTGGATCTGAGTCTTGCCTTGAAGTGTAATGCTCTGCGAGTGGCTGAAATCTGGGTGGATGAGTACAAACACATGGTCTATTTGGCCTGGAACATACCTCTCCAGGTTTGTCATGGATTGAACAGAAGCAGGGAAGAACGAAGGAGGAGGAGGGGGTGATAAGTGTAGGAAATGGGAGAGATAGAGTGAAAGTGCCATCCCTGCCCTAAAAAATTAGCATAAAGTTCCGATGGTGCAAGGATAATGACATCTAACATTAGGTAGTAATACTATGCTCCAGGTAGTCATTAATCATTGCAACATATCTATGAGGAAGGTTTTTTTTTTTATTCTTCCAAGTTTACAGATGAAGAAACTGAAGTACAGAGAGTTGAAAGGAATTTGTTTAAAGTAATAAAGTAATAAGCAGGAGAGATATAATTTAAACCAAGGAATCTCCTAGATTCTATGATCTTCATGCATCATCTATACTGGGGGATTCCTTGTGGGGCAGGGCTGGACATTAGGAATTTATGGGACATGGCAGGTGGGATGTGGGATGGTGGGAATAGAGACTGTAACCCTGCTGGATGCACACAAATGAGGATGGCCTTCTTGGCTAAGGCCGGCCACCTGAGGTTGGCATGGCATGCTGTCTTCTGTCCTTGAGCTGCGACTCTGGGCTCAAGCATTCTTTCCCTTTGATTCCCCACAGATATCACTTGTAGAAAATCTCCTTCAATCTCTAAATCTTGCTACCAGAATATTCCTTTTGAAAGCCTTTTTCTATCATGAGGAGTATTTTGTGCCTTACTGGTGTAAACATTATCTCAAATGGGAGCAGTCTGCATTAGCTTGCTAATGAAGGGAAATAAACCTGAGTGGCCCTACTATGCAGGCCTTGCAAGTACCTTTGAAGCTAGCAGAGATTACTAGGTTTCAAGCTCTTCCCACTTTACTTGAAAAACTATAATTATCAAGGTTACCTTCCAGGCTATCAGGAAAATATTTCATTCCCTCGTGTGTCATTCATACCCTTTGGTGGAGTCAAGGATGTTATAAGGCACAGAAATAGTCCATGTTTAATTTATAGAACTCTGGAATCGATTTTGGAGACATTTCTTCCAGAATGGCACTCCGGAAGAACTGAAATGTAAAACTTTTGACTGGTATCTGAAAAATGTTTATCCAAACCTGAAGCCAATCCACAACATTGTGGGCTACAGAAGAGTATGTATCATGAAATTGCAACTCAGATTTTAAATATTTGACTATAAAAGACAATGGGACCTGAATTACATGACAGCTCAGAAAAGCATTTCCTAATTCCATCCTGTCCAGGATTATCTTTCTAGCCCTTACCTCCTTTCTCAGCTTTTTGCCCTTGGGCCTTCTCAGTGTCCTTTTGTCTCTTGCTCCCCAGACCCCATCTCTTTTCCTTGTCTTTGCCTCTGGTTCCTTACTTTGCAAACTGCAGCCCTAGATCTGACCTCTCAGTTTCTCAGCCAACCAGGGTATCTGGCTTGGTCCCCCTTCTCTATATGTGCTGTGACAGTCTGAGGGGTGGGAGTTCTTAGGAAGGAACATCACAGCAGCACCTCCTTCCAGCATTTGTCTAGTGCAAAGAGAATGGCTTCCAAGATCCCAAACCTCTGCTTCCTTTTGGTTGGTAATTTCTGGCACCCTTGGAGTAGTGGGGAAAAGGCACGACGTAGGGAGGCTTGAGGGCCCTCTTTCTCTACCTCTTTCCAATGGTGTTTCTGTGTGTTTTGCCCTTTCAGATGAAAAACACGTTGGATGAAAATATCTGCCTGGATCAGGGACTTGTTTCAGGCAAAACCCCCAGCATGTTTTATTGTCACAAATACAGTCTGCAGGTATCTTCCACAATCTCCCCTGCCCCAGGGTGAGTCTGTTGTGGCTCAGCCCCTGGCAACACTTGCCAGATTCAGACTAAGTGTTAGATGATGGGAAGGCAGAAACAGAGCATCCTGAGCAATGGGTAAGGGTGAAATCCAAACCTGTCTTTGTAACTAAGCACTTCGAAGTCCATTCAAAAAATCATACTAGACAGTTCAACTTTGGGTACAGGAATGATAGGTAGAAAGTATGCTCTGTCACATTTGTTCACAATGGTAATATTTTCATTGACAGTTACCTCAGGTTCCACCTGACAGTTCCCTTCCCCTCACTGTCTCCACCATCCTCCCACCACTCCTGGTATGCCCTGGAAGGTGGGCAGGTGATGCTACCTGTGACTTCTTCTGTAGAGAAGGAAACAGGGGCTAGAGAAGAGAGGCTAAATGGAAGTCGCTCCATAGAATAGAAGAGACCTGGCATCAAGTGGATGGTGCAGCCTGGGGGACTTTTTCCCCTGAGAATATTTTCATCCATCTTGTTACTTTGCATGTTGCCCTCACAGGGAACTTCTGGTAGTATGTATGATAGATAAGCATTTCCACCTGACAAATGAAAACACTGAGACACAAAAAGAACCCACTTGTCCAAGCTCACCAAGCAAGATAGTATCAGATTAAGAACTGGAAAGGTTTCTTGACAAGCCCATAGCTGGAGCTTATGATGACAGCTTCTGAAGTTCAGGTGTGTGTGTGTGTGTGTTTCAAAGATAATCTCCTTTGTCTATGCAAGTCATGATTGTGTTGGAGTCCTTGTATGGAATCAAGTAGGCTGGTGCCCCCTCCTTATGCCTGGTCTTCTTCCTAGAGTCAACTGGGGTTTGAGGTGAAGGAAGAGGAGGTGGATCCTTGTTACCCATGAAAGTTCAGTGCTCCCTCGTAGTGATTGAGTACATAGGGGACCCAGGAACAGCCTTCATGCCCTCTATAAGGTCAAGGACAGCCCCACTGACCGTATCCATGACAGATTCCTTTGCTCTCTTTTAGAATGTCTACTATCACCTAACTGGGGAGTTCTATGTGGGACCACTGATTGCGGAGGCACGTACTGATGATCACTGCCTGACAGACCCTGGCAATGGGGAGAAGCCCATTTGAGAGCCATGTTCCAAGGCAGTCCAAAACAGACTGCACATATATTGGGATTTTAAACCGGTGAGTCACATGTTTTTTTATTTTTATTTATTTATTTTTTAAAGATTTTATTTATTTATTTGAGAGAGAGAGAATGAGAGAGAGAGAACACCTGAGAGGGGATAGGGTCAGAGGACGAAGCAGACTCCCTGCTGAGCAGGAAGCCCGATGCGGGACTCGATCCAGGGACTCCAGGATCATGACCTGAGCCGAAGGCAGTCGCTTAACCAACTGAGCCACCCAGGCGCCCAGTCACATGTTTTTTTAAAGATAAGCATATTCAAATCTAGTCTGTGAGGTTCATATTTGATTTGATAGTGTTTTAGAAGGACTGGCTTTGTGGCAGTGGTAGGGAAAAGACTGGAAATGAAACTGGGCGTGGAACCCTGAGTCTGTTGGCGAAGGTGGATGGGTAAGGGAAGCAATATTGGAATCTGTTATAGTTTAACGGTAAGAGTTTAGGTTCGGTCCTAGTTCAGTCACCATTAGCAAGTTTCTTACCCTCTCTGATACTCAGTTTCCTCATTTATAAAATGGAGATCACAATATCTACTTTAGGAGCCTGTTGGGAGGATTAAATGAGATAGTGTGTATACAGAATTTAGCATGGTGCCTGCACATAGAAAGTATTCAGTAAATATTAGCCATTATGATTAGTTTTATTATTAATGGTAATCAGAGAATCTGGAGCCCTGGGCTGAAATTTGATAGTATAAAAGCCCTGGTTTTAATTTCAATATCAACTGACTAAGAACAGGGTGGAGGGAATCTGGCAGAATTCACAAGACAATGAGATAAGGGATTTGACTGACTATAGCCTACATGTGAGTTTACTGTGTGATGGGGCTGCATTAAGCCACATTGGCAGAGATGTGATGTCCTGATGAAGGGAGGCAATGCTCTGTCTGTGATGGTATCTCTGAGCATTTTGGTACTGTGTTAGGTTCAGGGGCTACATTTTAACAGACATGGATCAATCTAACTCATTTACTCCTAATGTAAAGCTAATAACTCTTCTAAAAATCTTCTTTCCAGGAAAACATATATATGGACATATGTGCACAATTTTGCTTACAATTTCAGAGGGTTTTTGGACCTAGATCAAGTCTTTTTGAACTAGGCACTATCAGTGAGAAGGAGGAGGAGGGTAAGCTGTGTTTCTGCTCTTCACTTCCTGCTCTATATGGAACTACATGTAATTCTATGAAAGGCTATGCTCCCTCTTATCTTAGGCTTTTGTGTACGTATTATTCCCTCTCCTCCCACCTCTTTACTGGGCCAACTACAAAATGTTCCTCTGGCCTCAGACATTGTCTTCTTTGAGCAGCCATCTGTGCTCCACAGGACGAGGATGAGTGATTCGTGCTCTCAGGGCTCTTCGTACAGGTTTTATCTCACGATTATTTCTAAGTACCTCCTCACTTGCTTCTTTTAATCACTAGACTGTGAGCTGGAGGGCAGGGCCTGGGTTTTGTTGTTGTTGTTGTTGTTTTCTCTCTGGCATCTAGCACAGTGCCTGGAACATGACAGGCACTCAATAAATAATTTCAGAGCAGAGGAAAGATTGGCAAATCTGGAGGCACTAGCTTGGAGACATGAGCCTAGAGAAAAGATGATGCTGATTTCATGAGGAAGAGGGATTAGATTTGTTCAGTTTCTGCAGGGGGGCAGAATTGAGACCAGTGACTGGAGATCAAGGAGAGGGAGTTCAACTTAACATAAGGGGAGGACTTTCTAATAGCCTGACAGCTTAAGCTATCCTACAGAATAATGGGCTGCCTAGCAAGGTGGTGAGCTTTCTGTCAATGGCAGTCACCAAGCAGACATGTTTGACAGGCAGGTCCAGTGTGCTAAATGTGAGTTTTTGATGTCCTTAACAGTATCTTTTTTGTGTATGCAGAAAATACTATCACAGGTTTACTTTAGTTTTAAAAATTAATATTAAATTAAGTTATAAATTAAAGAACTATAGTTTTTCTTAAACTTTTACATTCAGCTTAGAAATCTTATTATTTTATTAAAAAACCCAGCAGTTTTTAACAATCACTTTTTTTTTCATTTCCAATCTGTATGACTTTTATTCGTTTTGTTTTTCTTGCTATATTACATTAGCTAGAATTTCGAGTACTATGTTGAATAAGAATGGTGAGACTGGATATCCTGACTTTGTTCCCAAATGCAGGGGGAAAGCATTGAGTCTTTCATCATTGCATATACATTAGCTGTAGATTTTTTGTAGATGCTCCTTATCAAACTGAAGTAATTTATCTGAATTTCTAACTTGCTAAGAAATATTTTTATTGTGAATGTGAGCTGGATTTTGCCAAATGCTTTTCCTTTGTCAATTGATATCATATTTTTTCTTCTTTAGTTTGTTGATATGATGGATTACACTGATTAATTTTCTAATGTTGAAACAACCTTGTGTGCCAGGAATAAACCACACTTAGTCATGGTGTACACTTCTTTTCATAACTTTATTGGATTTGGTTTGCTTGTATGTTGTTGAAGATTTTTGTGTCTGAGTTCATTAGAGGTAATGACCTGCAGCTTTTCTCTTTTCTTTTTTTTCTTCTTGGTACTGTCTTTGGTTTTAGTATAAAGGTAATAAAGGCCTCATAAAGTGAGTTAGGAGGTGTTTTCTCTTCCTAATTGATAAAATTTGTCCTATTGACAAAAATTTAGAATAGATCAGTTTCTGAAAGAGGCATTTCTGGAAGAGATTTTCTGGAAGAGATTGTCTTAAATTGGCATTAATCCTTCTTTAAATGCTTGGTATAATTCTCCAGTGGAACCATATGGGCCTGGAGGTTTCTTTCCAGGGGCTTTTAAACCAGGAATTAAAATATTTTAAAACCCTTTTGGCCTTGTGTGTACCCCACAAATTCCTGCCTATACTCAAAACTATCAGCACAATCCCCTGAGCCTGAAGCCAAGTTCAGTGAGCCTGGTTTCCACTCTGAAGCACCCAAGCATAGACACTTTGCTCCTTGCACACTTCCTGCATTCAGATCTGCCAGCTTTCTAGGCCTGTGTGCACAGGTGATGTGCCAGCCTGGCAGGCCTTCTTCCTGGAGCTCAAATTGAAAAATTTTTTAATAGTTCAGGGCTATTCAGATCATTTATTTCATGTTGATTGAATTTCAGTGCTTTATGGTTTTTCAGGAATTGGTCCATTTCTTCAAATTTATGAGTATAAAGTTATTTGCAACAGTGAATTAATTAATTTATTTATACAAGTGACATTATATTAGTTTCAAGTGTATAACATAATATGCCTAATTTATGCATAAATTGCAAAATGATCACCACAGTAAGTCTAGTTAACATCGATCACCACACATAATTACAAAAACATTTTTTTCTTGTGATGAGAACTTTTAAAATCTACTCTCTTAGCAACTTTATGGGGGAATTTACAATTTAATAAATTCCCTTAAACATTACATACTATATTTATAAATTTAATACATTGAATTTTCTTTCTTAAGAATGTCAATTATCTGATTTTAAATTAATGATTCTTAAATTCTATTATATGTTTCAACAGTGTTTGCAATTTGGTAAGATTTCACAAACTTAATTATTCAATTACACATTTTTAAATTGGTAACACAAGGTTAATCTGTAAGATTTTTTTTTTTAAACATAGCAGGTACTTAAAAATAGTAACTATACACAGAATCTTTAACAAATACTATGTGTTTAACATCTTTACTTGATCCTAAATCTCCCAGGAATTAAACATACTAGTTATGCTAAAGAAACAATTATAACATCTCAAACATTTTGAGGTTTGCCTTTCCAAGAGAATTTTGGAAAGATCACTTTCTCAGCTGGCTGAAGTTGCTGAGGGAATATAGATTCTGGTTGGGTGTGAGGCCTGGAGCTGCAGGACATGCAGGGGAATTTTGCCCACCACTCCAATGTCCAAGCCAGGTCCCTTTTTAGGTGACTGTGTCAAGAAGTCCAGAAGTTGAAGAAAGAGGTGATCATGTAGCTCATGAGTCAATTCATTCTATCTAAGCCTTTCCTATCCACCTTATCTTAGGATCACAGTTCTTTCAGGTAAGAAAGCTGTAGACACAACTTACACATTCATTCCACTAAAAAGCTACCAAAGATAATTTCCAGAATTGAGAGGGAGTTAAGACTAAATAATCCTTTCGTCTTCCAATTGCATGATTCATGGTTTGAGTCAACCAGAGGAGGTGTGACTTCTGAAAGCCACAAGAGAGATGGCATCAATGACTGAGAAGGGACCCAATTTGAACATCTGGACTTTGAAATGAGGAGCAGAGTTGCGAGTAGAGACATACTGAAATAATGGAGGGTTGGGGTAAATGTCATCATGCAGAAGTCTTCTGGATTGAGTGACACAAAGAAGAGTTCTGGGAGAGGCAGTGAGAATGAGGAGTCAGGGTTCGAGAAATAAAAAGGAAGAGATACTGTGGGAACGTGTCACGCTAGTGGGCACAGTTGCAGAAGGCAGTTTAGCTCTCTGCGTGAAAAACCCTGATGCTAATCAGCGCCCCCAAATTAATTGTGACCCCTTTTATGGTGCTCATTCTGTTTTAAGACAGTATTTTAAAAAATAATATAGAATGTGGGTCAAAACTAATATGGAAAATATCTTAATATTTATCATAGCAAAATATTAGGAAAAATTAAATGCCCGACAGTAGGGGAGATTTTTGTTCATCCCCTGAATATTGAACTGAATATTATATAGCCATTCAAATTATATCCTCAAAAAGTATATTTTCAAAAATTAATGAAATTGGAAAGTACACGAGATATTAAATCATGATATTAAACTTAAAAAGCAGGATATACAAACTATATATACAATGTTATTCTATTACGAGTACTTCTAATTTTTGAAATATGCTTTCCAAATTAAAAGAAAGAACACATATTCCTTCTGTGAAAGTGGAAAATAAACAAAACCAAAAATTCCTTAAAAACTGTCAGACAACACCCCCTAAATAAAAACCAAGCCAAATATGTATAAGATCCAGATGAACACATTGTAAAGGAAAGAAGTCTGAAGAAGGTGCAAAGAATACTTCCAAAGGACATGTCACATGGAAGTGGAGAGAAAATAGAAAAAAAAAAAGCGTCACTGACTTTATCTAAAAAATCACAATAAATTAGAACAGCCAAGATTTATTGAGTACATATAATGTATAGGCACAATCTAATTTAATCTTTACATAAATCTTACAAGAGAAATATTATCATTAGCTCTACTTTACTTATGAAGTTACTAAACCACAGAGAGTCAAATAATATAACCAAGGTCACATAGCAGATTAAATGTCCAGATTCAAACACAGAATCTTATCCACTGTTGTTATCGCCTCGTTGCTTGGGAAGTTTGGTTCTGAAAGGGAGGAAAGCACTGAATTTTGGTTAAAAAGGATGATAGAGTTAAGGATTATTTTCCCCCTCTAATATCGGGGGGAATTTTTGAATTTTCTTTCTTAAGAATGTCAATTATCTGATTTTAAATTAATGATTCTTAAATTCTATTATATGTTTCAACAGTGTTTGCAATTCAAAAATTTATTGAATTTTCTTTCTTAAGAATGTCAATTATCTGACCCAGACACATAGAAAAGTAGAATCTGGAATCTGCCCAGAGGGAGAAATGAAAGAACGATGTTAAACAGGAAGAGTGTTTCTCTGGCATCCACATCAGAGCACGGGGCTGCTAGCAATAGAGAGAGGCAGGGCAGCTCCTTTGAGACCACCCACAAGCAGTGTCCTGAGGGTCCCTCATGGCACTTGGGGAGGGACTAGACTGGCTGGCAGTGTGATCTTTTCAACAAAGTGAAAAAAAAAAGCATTTAGTGTAAGTGAGCATCAAGCACCAAGTGGGGACCAGGGTTAAAGAGTGCTGAAGAGGTCTGGAAGAATAACCCTAAGGAGTAAGCCAAGTTTTAAGCCAGACTTCTGTAGGCACATTTGTGGTCAGGCCTGCTTGGTTGGTGGACCCTCTCCAGGAGCACCCTGTGGGCTACAAACAGGGCCCACAGAAAGGAGCAGTGGAGGTGACAGGAAGATTTCTAGAACCAGGGGTGCCTGCGTGACTGCCCGCACTGGGGAGGTACACTGGGGAGGTGCACCTCAGAGAAGTCCAGTGTGGGCAGGGCAGGCAAGTTTAGGGGAGCAGGGTTGGCAGTGGGGGTTGCATTTTGTAATGGAAAGAGATCAGAGGAAGCAGGGTTTGGACATACTGCTGCAGCCCTGCTCAATGTTGAAATGTTTGGTGGTAGGTTCCAAAGTGGGACAGTGAGATCAGGGTCTCTCACTAGACCTTCAAATAGAGGCTGTTAACTCAGGATGACAGCAGAGGGCAGGGTGGATAAAGCGAAAACAACTTCACCGAGGCACTGAAATAGATTCTGTGAGTGATTCCTGCAAAGAAGTGGAGAGGGGTGTAGGAAATGGGAGGACTAGGAGAAGAGGACAGGACCAGGACAGATGGCATGATGACAGTAGTTGAGCCATAGATATGAGGAAGGAGCTTAGGGGCTGGAGGTGGCACATAGGAACAAAAAGAAGGATAACCCTTCCTCCCCTTCCCCCATTAGAATGGGAAGAGTCAGAGATGTACTAATTTACTGCACATCTTTCATGTCAGGCACAAGATGCTCAATAAATATTAACCAACTAATTTAATTCAATTAGTATTAATTTTAACCCTAATATTAACTATAAACCCATTTTACAGATGAGGAAATTGAGACTTAGGATAGGTAATTTGCCGGAGCCCTCTCCTATATGTGGTGGAGTAGGGATTTAGCCCAGACTCTTTGGCTCCTAAGCCCATAACATTCCCAGTAGTAAACTTTGGTGAAGCCCCCAGGGCAGAACAGGTAGGAACTGCTCCCCCCCACAACCCCCACAGTGGTAGAGAAAACAAGCTGAGATGCCTGAATGTAGCTTCTGCTCCTTTGGCCACCAAGCTTCACTGAAGAAGGAGGGAGAATCCTGATGGGTTTCATGGGCTCAGGGATGAAGATGTGGAAAGGAAGGCCAAGTAGAGAAGGACCATGGCTCTCCAAGATGTGTCATGTCTAGACAGTCACACTGCCCTGATGCTTCAACCTCATGAGAGGTGGATGATAACAGAAACCCAGCACAGCCTTGCTTCCTCCTAGATCTGTGGTTAGTCTGCCATGGTACTAGTAGAGAAAGCCCTGGGTGGTCTAACTCTGCCCTTTGCTTCATTTCCCCTCTGGATGACTGGCAGAAGATTGAGGGACTCTTCAAGCATGTGGCTGAGCACAGCAGGAAGAGCAGAAGCAGGGGAGATGAGGGCATTTTGATACCTTGACTCTGTCTCTTCTCCATCCAGGAAAAAGCTGTCATGAACAGAGCCACCAAGCGATGTCTGGAGATGAAGAAAGACACTTCCAGCATCTATGAGCCTGTGCTCCAGACCTGCACCACACAAGCGTGGACAATACAGTATACTGTGCAAAACTGGGGGTCAAACTGGCTTCCAGTGATCCTCAGAGAGCCTGGATTTGGGATACCAGTCCTTGCCACTGGAATGGCTTCTACTCCTAATGCTGCTCAAATAGGGAGAGGGTGAGAATAGGAAAGTATGTGTGTATGTTTACTGTGACTTCGGCCTGCAACACACAGGCTAGGGGAGACGAAGTGTATGCGTGTGTGAGGATGTCCAGGCTGCAGACGGGTGAGGAAACTCCCCCAGCTTCCCTTGGAAAGTCATGATATATATCAAATGCCATTATTGGAAACTCCTTGAGATAAGCACCATTATCTGGCTGCTGTGTGGGGACAGAACTAGGAGGGTGGAAGTCTATCATTGACTTCTGCCAACACTGTTTAGTCTTCATGCCTGACAACTACTGTTGCCATCTGCCCCACACATCCTCCCCCAGCCCATCTGCTCAGAGACTTCCCAGACAGCTTGGGGGCTGCTCCATGGGAGAGGCTGGGTCATCATCGGGCTGACAGCATGACAATGATTCAGGTGGCACCAGTTCTCTGAAGGTGTGTTGCCCCTGCTGTTCCCCTTTTCTGAACTGTCCTGAAAGATGCAGCAAATAGACAAGTAATCTTTAAAAATTCCTCTGTCATCACTCCAGAGCAGTTTTATTTGGATTACCCAATCTCTCCCATACCAAAGAGATTCTGGAGGCTGAGGGTAGGAGAGAATGTGTCTCCACTAATCCCAACTCTGCACAGTGCATAGAGAATGGTAGAAAAGTCCAAGTCCATCTGAGTCTTTAAGTAGTTTCTAACACTTAATAGACTTGATTACCTCTTTCCTTCCATTCTCCCTGAAAATTATGGAGAAATTGAGGCTTGAAACAGAGGGGCATCACTTATTGGGACACAAAGAAAGAATTGTAGGCACAGACTTAAAACCAAAGGCACTTACTGCTGTCTGTTGGATAAATCCTTTCCCCTAATTGGTAAATTGGGAAGAGATGTCTAGGGATGCCAATTTTGGCAAGGTCCTGGTGGTTGGTGGGAGTGGGCACCATGATAGGAGAGGAGGTAGGATGTTATATGTATATGTTGTTTTGTGGTCTCACCTTTCAAGGATGTGCAAACTGGTCCCTTCCTTAAGAGCATCACCTTTTCCTTTTAGTTTTATGTCAGTGCTACTTGGGTATGATTCTGGGAATAATTAGGCTTCTTTTAGGCATTAGGCAGACAAGACACTGATAATTTAGTACAGAATTAAATCAGCTAATTTTTTTAAAGTAAGCTTTTAGAAGTGCATAAGTCATAAGTGTACAGCTTGATAAAACTTTCACAGTGGCCGAATCCATATCCAAGAACTAAAACATTACCTTAGGTAGGATATTATGATGAAAAAATTAAGGAACAGGATAAATGTTAAGCAAATGTATAACTTGTAGTTTCTTCATAGCAAATTGAAGGGAAAATGCAATTCATAGCAAAACTTTTTTTTTTTAAAGCTTGTACCCATTAGAAAGATGGGTAAAAAATGGGTAATATCCTTAAACATACGAAAAGATGTTTAATCTCACTCAGAGAAATGCAAATTAAAATGGTACCGAGATAATTTTTCACTTAAATAGGTGAAAATTAAAAATTATGACAGCACATTCTGTTAGCAAGGTTGTGGGAAACAGATAGTCTCATATTTTGATGATAGGGATGCAAATTGGTACAACCATTTTGGAGGGATATTTGGCAGTATTTAAAAATACTGTAGGGGCACCTGTGTGGCCCAGTTGGTTAAGTGTCTGAGTCTTGATTTTGGCTCAGGTCATGATCTCAGGGTCCTGAGATCAAGCCTCAGGTCAGGCTCCACTCTCAACAGGGAATCTGCTTGAGATTCTCTTCCTCTCCTTCTGCCCCTGCCCCTGACTCATGTGCATGTGCATGTTCTCTCTCTCAAATAAATAAATAAATCTTAAAAAATACTATATGTGCACTTTTTTGTGTGTGTAACTCTACCTTGAGAAACTCACACCTCCAAAAAATAAGAAAATACTTATGTGTAAATGAATTATTTGCAGTATTGAATTTAATTATAAAATGTTGGAAATGAACCATAATGTTCAAACATCAGCAAGTGGTTGAATATATCCATACAACAGAGTACTATGCAGCTATGGAAAAGAACTAGGAACATTTCTTTGAACTGATATGGAACGTGTTCCGGTGTGAAAAAAAAGAAAATCATATTTATAGTTTGTACTTTTTAGGTAAGAGATAAGGGGGAAATATACATGTATCTGTTGATTTCTGCAAAATGAAACATAAGGATAAACCAGAAACTAATGAGATTGGTTACTTATGGCTGGTATTGGTTGGAAATAGGATGGAAAGGATTGAGGATAGAAACAAGATAGAAGGGATGTGGGGAGAGTGACATTTCTCAAAACATATATTTTTCTGTAATTTAGACTTTTAGAATCATGTTATGTTTCATATGTTCAAAACATAAATATACAAACCCAACAAGGATAAAGGGAAACCCAAAATGGAGTGCAAACAAAACCAAGTGAACCTACCTATGTTTCTGTGTTTAACACACTCATTCTGAGCACACTCAGCATCCAGCATGCAGATCTTTGTTTCTAAATATTTTCGAGTAAAAGGAATTAGGGCTCCTTGGAGAAATAGCTGATTTGGGGCTTAGACATTTTCCTGTGCTAGAGAATAAGGAAATGCTCCAAGGGTGATGGGGACATGTCACAACCTATAGCAGCCAGATCCAAGGGGTTCTCACTGGCCAAAACTAGAATAGTTTGAGCATTAAAATAAATAATGCTTTTATTATATAGATTAAAAGCCATAGAAAAAGTAAGTGAAGGAATGGATGGATAGATGGATGAATGAATGCATGGGGAGAAGGGAAAGCTCTTCCTTAATGTAGACTGCCAATTAAAAAATGTAGGGAGAAATCTGGAATTAGAAAATTATCTGACAATCCATAGTTAAAATTGTTTCAGGCAAGAATCTTAAATGGATATTAAAATTAATGGGTGATGAGAAACAGAATACATACATAGTATCAAAGTAACCCTTCAGAAGATATTTGTTAACTACAAAGGGAAAACTAATTTCATGGTGGAGAAATCTGACAGACACCATCTTAACTGAGTGATCAATGTTAATATCGCCAGTTACAAGACAAATGGATATCACATGACTTCTGATAAGATGCACCCAGAAAATACAACATCATTTCCAATGGTATTCTTGCCCCCAACACAGGATCTGAATCTATAATTTTTAGGAAACAATTAAACCCAAATCAAGGAATATCCTTCAAAATAAATGGTCTGTCTGCTTCAAAATGTCAAAGTCATAAAAGACAAAGAAAGACTGAAAAACTTCCCCAGACTAAAGGAGACAAAGAGTCTCGACAGCTAAATATAATGTGTGGTCCTGGATGGGAATCTGGGCCTGAGGGGAAATTAGTTTTCCTTTGTTCTAAAGAACAGCAGTAGACAACTGATGAAATTTAAATAAGGTTTTTTGATCAGATAACAGTACTGTATCAATGTTATCTTCCTGATTTTGATCACTGTACTCTGCTTATATAAGAATATAAGAGAATGTCCTTGATTTTACAAGATACTCTATGGATGGATTGGGGGAGGGGCATTATCGTTGAGATTATATCTATTATACTTTATATAACCTCCTTAGCAAAGAGACCTAGGCAAAAAGTCAACTTTATGACAAGTTAAGAAATGGATATAGTTTATTTTCCTTCTTTCTCTAACAAGTCATGATGGCTAGATCAGGACTTGTCTTTTCCAAGCACCTTGTCAATCTCCTTCCATTTTTAAAGGTTCGTCATTAGCTACTAAATGAGGCTGGTGGCTTCTGCTTCCAATACATTTCCTAGCTGAGGCAAAATTGAAGAAGATGGGCTGTGCTGTCCTATTTTTACAGGTGCTTTGTCCTGGGGCTAGTAGCAGCCCCCAAGTCCTAGTTAGTCTCCCCTCACCAAGCTCCCTATGTCCCCTTCCAGAGAGCTTGCTGGTAGGCCTTCCCATTGGGCCTACAGCACATCTTGATTAGTGTTCCACACGAGAATTCCTTCCCAGCAGTGCTCAGGAAAGTTCTGCATTTTTTCAAATTTCAAGTTTCAAGAAAAATCAGTTGAAAAATTAGGAAGACAAGAAAGAGCTCTATAATTCTCCTGCAAGAATTAAAGCTTTGTCGGTAACATAGAAGTGTTACTGGTTTGAAGGAACCCACTGTCATCCAATGGAATGCAGGAACAGGAAACACTGAGACACAGAGTCCAAGGTTAAGGATGTATTTTCGGAAACCAGGACAGGAGTGTGCAGAAAAAAAGATGGCCACAGTCTAATCAGTTGGTCACGCATATAGCAATAGCCATGCTGTAAGTGTGTGTGTTGGTCTATTTGCCTCTACTGGTGAGGAATTCTTGCAAATAAAAATACATATTAAGTTTTTATGCATAGCGTACTTCATACAAATCTTACGAAATTCCAAGGAATAACAAGTTTGGGGAGCAAAATATGGTCTTAAATTGGCAATTTCAACACATGATTTTGACAAGTGCTATTAACCTAGTTAACCTCTCATCAGGAGATCCAAATGTTACATTATTTGAATACTACAAATTTCATGTAATCTTGGCTGGTGCTTTCTAGGGTTTGAATATTTGCTATAGACTTGTTTTTGTAAATATTACTAAGCTTAATATCTCTAATTCACTAAACAACTTTTAGAAATCCATAATAGCAAGTAAAGAGTATATCTGATTTTCGATATACTAAAGAATAACTTATGCTTTGGGGGAATTTATGAAAATTACTGAGAGTTCTGATTTTTTTCCTGAATCCCCAAGATAATGTCTGTTGGGAAATTGTTGGGATTACTATCCTAACATTACTGAAACCTACTGTGGGTGGTCTCTGTCAATTTATTGCTCTGGGTTCTCCATTAAAAATCAATCAAAGGGACTTCTTTCAGGTTTTTTAAATAAAAATTATGTCCTATTATTTTTGCCAGTTTTTTTTAAAACCACTTCATTGAGATATGATTGACATGTAAAAAGCTGTACATATTTAATATATGAAACTCAGTGAGTTTGGGGATAAGTATACGTATACCCCATGAAATCATCACCACTATCATGGCCATAGACATATTCATTACTTCCCAAAGTTTCCTCTTGCCCCTTTTATTATTATTGTTATTATTATAACTACTACTACCATTTGTGGTATGCATACTTACCATAAGATTAACCCTCTTAAAAAAATCTAAAGTATACACATAGTATTGTTAGCTATAGGTACTATGCTGTATTGCCCCAGAACTTATTCATCTTGAAAAACTAAAACTTTGTACCCTTTGACCACCATCTCCCCATTTCCCCCTCCCTGACCCCTGGCAACCACCCTTCTACTCTCTGCTTCTATGAGTCTATTTTTAAGTTCCACATATAATTGAGTTCACATTTGTCTTTTTTATATCTGGCTTATTTCCCTTAGACTAATGTCCTCCAGGTCCATCCATGTTGTTGAAAATTTGCCAAATGTTTTTAAATGTCTTCCACAAAATCAGTTTCCTGGGAGTCTTTTTTTTCCCCCTTATGTCTGTGGGCACATGTGCTGTGGCTGGCTGCAAGATCTTAGCTCCTACTGGAGCACAGTGGTTCTCATGATTGCAACAATCTTCAACAGTTAGTTCCTAGAGACTTTTTAATCTTCAAGAACTTCTCTCCAGGGCAGAAGTTCTGCTGAAGATGGAGTTCACTGACATGGAGTGGAGTAACATGTACTTTCCATTTCCTCTGCTCGTGAGGAAAGGGAAAAATCTAGGATTACAGGTGCAATAAAAGGAATCCAAGTGTAGCTCAAAGCTCTAGCATTATAATCCATGGCACCCCTTTCCTCCAAAATCTGTCCTCCTAGTCCTATCATGGACTTCTTTCCCTCCCTGCTGGAATCTGTCCTCACAGATTGGTCCAGGGTGCAGGGCAGGTGACACAGATTTTGCAGTACAGAAACTCTAGGCACCCATGCTCTGCTTTCTAAGCCTTGAGTCCTGCCCCTCTGATGAGGGCTTCTCTTCCCTAGTTAGAGCCAGACACTGGGTCTCAGGCTGGACTGCTACCCTGGGGATGGGCTGTCTGCCAAGCCTTGATTTGCTTTTCTGGGCTGGAACGCTTCACTACTGAACCGCCCAGCATGGCTTAGGAAATAGGGGACATGGACTAAGGGGACAGAAAAGCACTGGCTCAAGGGTGACAGAGGTGGTGACTGCAAAGCCAGTTTGGGTGATGGTAGATGCTGCAGGATAGGTGTGGCTGGGGTGGCTGTGTGGATACCAGCAGTGGTACCTGCATGATTTAGGACAGGGTCAGCAGGGCAATAGATCCTGCGGGGTGGTGAAAGGAGTGGGGGTTGGCAGAGGATTATATTTGCCTCCAATAGCTGCTGCAGGGGGCCACAAGGTGCTGGGTAGCTCTCAGAGAACTCTGGCAATGGCAAGTAGTGGCCCAGTGTAAAAATGTTGATAGCTAAGCCCGGGAATTGGCCAGGCAGGGAGGCAGTGAGAGGGCTCTGAGAAAAGGCCTCTGTCTGTGGTTGCTGCAGTTCTTATTCCCCTCCCTGCAAGAAGGCTTTGGCTTTCTCTCTGTGCCTGAGGTTTTCCTTGCTTTTACCCATCCTCAGATGTTAAGACTTTTGCACCCAGGGTTAACTCAGCTCCAGTGGAGCAGGTACTGGCTGCTACTGATCAATGGGATAGTTTGATCTGTGCATATTTTTGTTCAGTCAGGAGGGGACAGTAGTGGGTCTTTACTTAAAAACACTTTTCCCAATAGATCTTTATTCATGACTAAGCTGTTTTC